CTGACAGCATCCTGAATGATTGTGACTGTTTAAAATATGACGAACAGTTTTGACATATTCCTTATGGTTTAATCGGGATCCGGCTATATCACACCTTTGCCGAAACTATTCCCCACCAATGACGCCACCTGTCGACTAGTCATGACTGTCTCAGTGCTAAGCTTACGCGCCCTACGTGGGTCTTTATTGATTTTCAAAGAATTATCCTTGTCGAGCGAATATGTTCTCTTTTTTAAAAATGACCTCTTCGAAGGATGAACTGGATCAGACTGTAATGAAATAACAGAATATATATGAATATATGTCGATAACAATAAATAAGCAAATATAATAAGACTTTTTTAAATCAAATATTTCCCTGCATATTATAAATTATATATAATTTTATCATATGCACAAAAAAATAAAATAAAATAAAGAAAAAGAAAAGAAAAAAACAACAACAACTAAAGTACACTATTCAAAAAACAGTGGGGTTCTCATCCTGTGTGACCTAGGACCACTGGGAGTGCTGCTTGTAGTTGTCGAATGGCCAGAGCTGATATTTAATGGATCATAATTTATATTTACAGTTATTTGATGAGTATGGAAGTTCGCATTCGCTAATGACAGAATAGACCTAAATAAAGTTAGGCAACATAATGATTGCTAACTAGAATGTATGCCATTTTGTATGAAGTGTATGGGTAATAAACACACATTAATTGGATTGGATTGGTAATGGCTAATAATTTATAAAGCGCATGTGATTATTATGCGCTTTGTTAAGGAAGAAAGTGAAATAGCAGAAAGTGAGATAAATGGAAAATCTAACAAAAACAAAATAGGTGAGTTTTTAGTCTAGTACAAAACAGAAAGGGAAGGGGACGCGCGGATGGTAGCTGGAAGATTGTTTCAGAGTCGTGAACCACCAACAGTGTAATATCTCTTTAGGTTTTACGAAAAATGTTGAGCAGAACACAGTGGTGAGGGTTGATGTTGTCCTGAGTTGCCAAGCAGGCCTGTCAGAAAACGCAATAATGAGATCGGTGATGTATTTCGGAGTAGAGCCGTGTAACGATTTGTAAACGAAAAGTAGAATTTTGAAAATTATGCGCATGTTGTTGAAAGGCAACCAATAAAGCTGAAAAAGGTTGGGTGTGATGTGTTGAAATCGAGAGGTGCCGGAGATGAGACGAGTCGCGATGCTACGCTGGAGTATTTTTGTTGCAGTATTAAACAAAACGGAAAGCACACTTACGATAACACTTTTTGCATTCAATGATAAACTCATTACTTGTGGAGCCGCTTCCTTATCTAAACATGACAGGTCTAGGACCTTCTCTCCTATGATCCTAAGTTGTTGACGGGATTTGTCTTTACCGAACATTCGAAATCGTAATGCATACGTCTGCAGCATCGCCGATGTCAAGTTCGTGAAACGAAAGACTTCGTTGAACAACGGGTCTTGTCCCAGGCGGATTCGTGTTTTGCCTCGCTGTAATTTATCCGGTAGCAGGGCTATTTGAATCCTTATGCCGAGTGCACCTCCATGTTCTTTAGGCAGAAGACCTTTAGCCTTTACGATTGCAACAGTTAAACGTTTTTTCTTCATTTTATATCCAATTGTTATTTCTAGATCACCAACAGTTTCCGGCTTCTGAAAAGGAGAAAAAAACGAAATTGCGTTATGATATGTGAATTGCTCTTAAGGTAAACTAAAAGAAATATGTCAGTAACATCATCATCGTCATCATAATCGGCATCGTAATCATCAGTATAATTATTTTCATCATATTATCATTTACTCAGGTGTATTATTATTATTATTATTATTATTATTATTATTATTATTATTATTATTATTACCTTAGAAATAATGAACAAGAAATCTCATATAACTGATTTAAAAAGGTACGCATGCCAACAACAATGGCGAACACGGTGGCTCAGTGTCACGGGCTCAGCGTCACGCCGAAGCAAACATATAGGGACTAAAATCAAGCTAAAATCGGCTATTATTTGATTTTGAAAGACACTATCTCCTGATCATTCAGTGACGTAGCCAGGATTTTAAAAGGGGGGGGGGGAGCCGTTATGCGAATTTAGTACGGCCCCGGCGGGGTCAAGGGGCCGAATCCCCCTGTGAAGTAGCGCACTCTAAACGTTCTTAGGATTGTTTGAGAGGATAAAGTGAAAATTGCAATAGACGCATTATAAATAAGCGCAAAAATAATTATATAATAAATCAACAGTGGCAGATCCAGGAATTCGAAAGAGAGGTGAACGAGGGAGGGACTTTCGAGGAACCGCCCACCTCAGCCCCACCATGGTTGGGGCTGAGGTAAGAAAATTTATGATTAGGGCATCTCTAGATGCCCGGAAATTACACTCTCGCACTTCAATTTGAATATATTTTTCTTTTTTTTCCTTAAAAAAATGAGGGGGGTGGGCCTTGAATCCACCTCTGCTCAAAACATTCTTTATCCAGAATAATCATAATCACGAAAAATGGACATGAAAAACCAGATCACATCCTAAAAACAAACAGCAGTCACTAAGACATACATAAGGAGCCGACTCGATGGAGTTCAATGTCATACCCAGGGAAGGGCACAGATCTGTTTTGAAAGTTGAAGGGGAGGGCATTTTGTGTGTCGACACCCACCTTAGCCCCACCATGGTTGGAGCTGAGGTGAGAAAATTTGAGGAAATAGTACCTCTAGATGGCCAGAAATGACATTTTTAGTAAAATTCATCATCATCACATCACCATTAGTCAAAATGAAGCGCCAAAAAAAATTCTCATGATCTTATATCAGGGATTTTTGACAACAATAGAGATCTTATTAATGTCTGTGTGATATACCATAGAAAACAAAGCTTAAAAACATTGTCTTTGAGTATGTATTTTAGATAGGCCTACTTCAAAAACGTGATTTCACAACCACCTCAACCCCACCATGGCTGGGGCTGAGGTGAGAAAATTTGAGGAAATAGTACCTCTCGACACTTTTATATAGTAAAATTCATCATCATCACATCACCATTATAGTCAAAATGAAACGCCAACAAATTTCTCATGATATTTTATCAAGGATCTACTTAATATCAAGACAACTTAGGCCTAACTATAGCTTACTAAGCTTTAACTATACTATAATGATTATGATCAACAAATCACAACTTTTTTTTCGCATTTAGCACAATTTTCTTTACTTTTTATTGCTATTAATATTATTATCAATTACTGTATTACTATCGTCATCATCATCATTGTTATTATTATTAATATTAGTAGTAGTAGTATTATTATACAAAAATTTAAAGAAACTTGCAAAAGGATAAAAACGAAATTGAACCACAGTATCGCATTTCTATCTTAAAAGACCTGGCCTGAGATTTATGGATTTAGGCCTGTGTTCTATTAGGCCTATGTATAACGTGTACTGATGCATATTTACATGTTTTAGAAGTATTCATTTTGAGTGATCCCAGGAAAGAATTTGGCTCAAGAATAAGCTTTAAAATTTTAACACTGTATACAAAGGGGAATCCGCGGCTCTCACGGCTCCCCCCACCCCCTTGAATATGTCCCTGCGATCATTCAAAATAATATTTTTGTTTTCTCTCCCATTAAACAATTATTTCCATTTAGAAACAACCAGTTGCGGCTTAGCATGAAAGTACATTTTTAATTGATTGTGTGCCCAAATATTAATAATTGGTCGAAGATCTTATCTACTATTAAATGCAGTACTAATATACATTGTAAATGGATGAGGTCTCAAAGCCGGCCCAGATAAATCCGGACCTGTCTACAACGTATTAAATTATTTAATGTTTAACATGTGGACTCCCATAATGTTGGAGTGCGGGTCCCCGGGACTTGACTGAATACGTAGGCCTAAAATAGGAAATTGAATAATGTTGTTTAAGTATTAAATTTTGTTATTCATGTTGGACATATTTAGTTGGTATTTGTATATTAGTAGTTACTTAAACATATTTAATTTAATTACATTTGTGACAGTAACCTTTCCCCTATCTAGTAAATAGGTAAATATGAAGCCTGAGATTTTGCCCTCATATCGGTTGGTATATGTATTTTAAGGACTTTTAACAGAAATTCTATGTTAACTATACCATTTTTGAAATAAAGTTGGAATGTTATATATGATGAGTAAATGAATGATGATCAACATCATTATCCTCATCATTGTCATAACCATCGTCTCCACCACCCATCATCATCATACATCAGCCTCATCATAATTACTTCATAATTATTATCATCATCATCATCATTTTCATTATCTTCATCATCATCATCATCATCATCATTATCACCATCATCATCGTTATTTTCAATATCGTTTATCGTCATAGCAAATCATACTCACCAGCGGTTCAGGATGGTACATCTCAGAGGTACTTGGAGCACTTGTACTGATGGTTTCACTTCGAGTTCTTGGTTGGTGTTGAATTTCTGTTAATATATAAATCATGTATACATTATCAAACATCGCTTATAGACCTACACATAAGATACTTGAACCAAACCCAGACAATTAAAACGTTAAATTATAAATATTATTTATTGGTGTGTTTCTTATGATAGTGGCTTATTTTTAGTCTTAATGAGGGTCTCCTGGTCAATTCATGCTATAATTGTATACTTATGTCAAATATAATTTATAATTTCTGTATGTTAATTAAACAGCCTGCGTCTGAATCTAAGTCACAACTGCAAGTAAAGCGATATAGGGCCTATGTCATTCCGCAGAAATAGACCTCTGGGCATGGGCCCATGAAGCGCAGTGAGTGTACTTGCGAGCAAAAGCGAGCAACATTCTGTTGGGGTCAGGGGGCACGTAAAATGAAATTCCAGGGCAGGAGCAACAGACATGGTGCCAGAGGTCCAGGGGTCAGTTGGTAGGGTACCGGAAAGAGCGGGAATCAGGGCCAAACCCCTTAGAGGTAAATTATGCTAACTTGGTGGAGCTAGCTTTACCCAAACTTTAAAGTTCAGTCTCGCTATCTAAATGCACTATGGCGTGCAAAATCGGACGCAGGGTCGCGCTATGTTCGTGTACTTTCAGAACGCAGCATGAAACATGATCGAACAATGGCGTTTCAAAGCATCGCTGTCGCTTTGCTCTATAAAACACGGATATAAATGCATTCACAATAGGTGTTTTAAACTGTGAAAGGTCAGGAATTTATTGTGGAGGACAAAAAAGGTCTCAATCAGTTTCATGGATTAGGGTGTTCAGTTAGAGGTGCCTACCCTATTATTACCAAAAGATGATTCCAAATATAGGACTATAATTAAAACAAATTCACAAATCCTATTCAATGTTTAACCCAATATAAACTTTCTTTTCTTATAGACCTACACGCTGAGTAGTCGGTACGATAAATACGTCAGGTATTTATCGTACGTTTGAAGCATCCTCCTATGACGAGTTTTGCAATTGCTTTATTTATCAAATTAATTAAAAATAATAATAATAATACTAAGTAGAACAGAAAATAAACAAACAATTAAAAATAATGTAAGGTTTGGTGACGGTATACCTGGTGTGATTCCTGGTACTTGTGCGTGCCAGGGATGTATTACATGCTGGGCCATTATATCATTATTATGATAGCCTATTATTATATAAAGCATTATTGTAAATAATTGTAAAATATGGAAAAAAGCTATTAATAATACATAGGCTAAAACTCTGTTCACACTATCAATTTGTTTGTAATAATGACGTCAGCAAGCTAATATAATCACACACATTTTTGTCAAATAAGATGTGATAATGTGGACAGAGCTTATCCCTGTCCAGACTATCAAATTTCATTTTACAAAAACATGTGACATACCTAAATCTGGTCATTGAGGTGATGTCATAAAAGCACGTCATGACTATGTATGGACAACAGCTTTCGGCAAAAAAAAAATTGTTAATAATGACAGAGAGTCTTACAACTGCTTGACATGCAACTGAATTATTTACCTTCTGATACTATATCGATGGGAGCAGTATCTGGAACAGGTTCCGGAGTGCCTTCGAAATGTCCCGAATCTCGACTGGTAGCAATTGAGATATTTTCGTCTGGCTCTTGGTAATCTTCCATCATTTTATTGTCGATTTCGAAAGGTGGCTCTACAACCCAACTTTCGAGATCGATTTCTGTATCTGAATCAAAGTCATCAGACCTGGGCCTAGCAGCCCGCTTATGTACAGTAGTAGTTTTCTTTCCAAACATAGACAATCCATCTATGCCCAACGTTAAATGCTTCCAGCAATTTAGACAAGCCATGGCGTTGTTTGTATGTATATTTCGTATTCAGAAATATACACAGATATTTTTTTGGCTTATTACAGTAACTTTAAGTCAAGTTTATTATGATTTGACAAAAAAACGAACGTTTGTTAAAGTTGCTTCCTCATTCTTCTAAAGTTAAAGCGTTGTTTCTCTCAAACTAGCATGCAGTATAGGCGTCCAACCAAAATAAAACTTACTTAAAAAATGGATGCATTACAAAAATGCTGTGGAGTGAACAATGAGCATTTTTTGGATCTGTATACCGCTTTTATTCTTACCCATGAAGCATTCAGAATTGAGTACTATATCTATAGTCTATATCAAGGACGCCTCGTGACAGATTTGGAATGAATATGGATGGCCTAATTATTATTATTATTATTATTATTATTATTATTATTATTATTATTATTATTATTATTATTATTATTTTTATTAATATTATTATTATTATTGTTGTTGTTATTGTTATT